TCTTGTCGGCTGCTGTTTCCCAGGGTGTGAGCAAAGAGTCTCCCACCTCCAAGGAGGAAATACTGGAATTCCCAGAATCCTTAGGGGAAGGCTGTGCCCACACAGAAGCCTCATTGGCTGTGACCTGATTGACAGGCTAGACTCCATGCCTACATGCTTAATCCTTAAATTGACAATTATATAACTGCCATACCTTCTGATTAACTAGTCCACACATCCCATATATCTCCTCTCAACCTTGCATGCCAATACAAAAATGTATCGGTCTGGGTTGTCTAGAGAACTAAATCCATAAACACTCATGTGTATAATAAAGAGTTTTATATACAAGAGCAATTGAATATTGGGGAAACGTCCCAGCCCAGTCCAGATCAAGTCCGTGAGTCCAATATTAGCCCATATGTCTGATACCAATCTATAAATTCCTCTTCAGACTCATGAAACACATGCAATGATGCTGAGTGCAAGACAATCACAGGCCAGTGGGTGGAAAATCTTATAGATCCAGTGGCGGTCGGAAGAGGCATCTCAGCGCTGGCAGGGGTCTCCACATGGCTCCTTCAGCTCCAGGGCTCTAGCGTAGCTCCTGGCGTCTTGTCAGCTGCAATGTCTCCCATGGAGTGAGCATGTGTCCCACCTTCATCAAGCTCTCTTTAGCGCCTCCAAATGAGGTCATCAAGCTATAACCTGATTGACAGGCTAAACTCCACTCCTTCACTCGTAAGTTTCAAGTTGACAACAGATTATGTAACTAGCACAAGAAATAAGCAGCAAAAGTGACAGGAAGTTCCTCAAAGGGTAGGTGATTTTCATCTCATCTTAGAAAACTTTAAAGTAGGCATCTGTTTGTTGAGTACTTACTATTTGCTGGGCAGTACATTGGACACCTTGCATAGTACATTATCTCTTTTACCTTTCTATCATCCCACTAGAGTGGTTGTAATTTCTGGTGGAGCTGTCAGGTAAGCAGTTGGACTGCTAACTGCAAGGTTGGTTTTTCAAACCCAACAGCCACTCCAAGGGAAACCTATAAGGCTATCTGCATGTGTGCAGATTGACAGCTTTGCAAACCCTATAGAGTGTCACCATGAGTTGAAACCCAATCAATGGCAGTGGGTTAAAGTGGTTATAATATCCTTTCTATAAAGGAGAAACCGATTCGATGAGGTTAAGTAATTTCCTCAAATTGACATAGAGTAAGGGAAACCAAATTAGGATTCAAACCTTTACCTATCTGACCTCAACGCTTGTGGTTTTTCTCCTGCCTGTATTGCCTTTGGTAGATGTTCACTCCCTCAGACAGAATGTGGTTACAATCATTATAATTAGATTTTTTTTTACCTATCCTCTTTCATAGAACAGATCTTCCGGGACTACACTCTGGTAGGGATAGGATTAAAAAGGGTAATTCCAGTTCTTGCTGTAAGCAAAGAATCACGCTAGGATGAGGACAGCATGTGTCAGTAGCAGCAAGAGCTTAGAAAAAGAAGTGCCAATGTCCTTCTGGAAGAATCGGGGCGGTCTCGTGGCAAAAGTAGTACTGACCCTGGCCTTGAAAGGTGGCCTAGAATTCCCAAGTGGGCAAAGCGAGTGGGAAATGTATTTTTTTTAAGTCATTTTATTAGGGGTTCATACAACTCTTATCACAATCCATACACACATCAATTGTGTAAAGCGCATTTGTACATTCATTGCCCTCATCATTCTCAAAACATTTTCTCTCCACTTAAACCCCCGGCATTAGGTCCTCATTTTTCCCCTCCCTCCCCGCTCCCTCCTCCCTCATGAGCCCTTGATAATTTATAAATTGTTATTCTGTCATATCTTGCCCTGTCCGAAGTCTCCCTTCACCCACTTTTCTGTTGTCCGTCCCCCAGGGAAGAGGTCACATATAGTTCCTTCTAATCAGTTCCCTCTTTCCTACCCTCTCTCCCTCTACCCTCCCTGTAACAGAACAAACTTTGAGAGCACAAGTAATTGTGGGAAAATACCAGTAATTTAGTATTGCTATTCTTAAAGTATGTTTACTTGTTTATTGACTATGCAAAGACACTCAACTGTGTGAGTTTTAACAAACTGTTGATAGGAAGAGGCATTTGGTCAAGCAGAATTACGAGATACTGAATGATTTCAAATCGGGTGGTGTATATCAGTGTTATAAAGTGTTGAAGAGCAAAGAAGTCACTTTGAGGACCAAGGTGCACTAGACCCAAGCCTCATACGCATGTCAGGTTGGACAATGAATAAGGAAGACTGAAGAATTGTTGATACCCTTGAAAGATGATGTTGGCAAAGAACCCTGACTTTCCCATGGACTGCCAGAAGAATTGACAAGTGTCTCTTGGAGGAAGTACAGCCAGAGTGTGACTTGAATATGAAGATAATGAAACTGCGTCTCACAACCTCCAGGCATGTTATCAGGAGGAACCCGTCCTGGAGGAGAGCATCATGCTCATACAGTCAAGTGTCAGCAAAAACGTGGAAGACACTAATGAGGTGGACTGACCAACAGTGGCTACTACAATGGGCTCAGACGTAACAACAACTGTGAGGGCGGCACAGTGCGGGGCAGTGTTTCCTTCTGTTGTGCATCACTGGCTGGGTGTCAGAAACAACTAGACAGCACCTAGCAGCAGCACACGTAGAGCACACACCTAAAGCCAGACAGATGAACGAGAATGAAGGAGATCACAGGGTTTAGATTGTCATGCTCAGAAGTTTTAGCTTTCATTTTCTACAGTCAAAAGTTGGAAAGGAAAGCCACTGAAGAACTTTAAGGGGAAGACTGGCATGAACAGTTTCACTCTTTATTGTTGTTGTTTTTACTTTGATGTCAATAAGAGTGTGGATTGAAGACGAGCTAAGTGAGGCTGAGACTAGCGTGGGTCGTTGCCGTATTCTGTGTGAGAGGCAAGGAGGACCTGCACTGGGGCACTGTCAGTCAGGCCGAGAGAACAGCACTGATGGGGAGTGAGGAAGCTGAGAGACACGTTAGCAACATTTGGACCACCACATCTGAGCAGTCACAAAAGAGTTTACCCTCCCAGGCTCTTGATCTCGCAGCCTGCTGTTTCGCAGTATTAAAGGGCAGAAAAAATAATCGTTTCCAAAATTCACAATACGGCTTTTCATTTACTTCATGTAAGCGGTTACTTTGCACGATTTTTCACGTTTTCACATCTGGGCTGTACAATGAAAGACTGTATGGTCCAGATGTGAAAATGTAAAATATTTTAGGAGCGCTCTCATAAATTTTATTAAATCTTTCAACTTCATCGTGAAAACTTCAAAGTTACAACATATGGTTCATCCATCCAACTCCTCTAGTTTGTGAGTTGGGGCCTGGAATTTATTTCCACTCAAGTTATAAGGTAAAATCATGAGTGAAATCCCCATCATTAATCTACTGTACGAGTTCTAACATTACCATGATACGGCATTAGGTAATTCTGCATTTCTCTGTTTCTTGTCACTTCCCGTAGCAGGGACTCGCGAGCTGTGGCTTGTCTGCTAACACTTTCTTGTCGCTGTCCCATGGAAAGTGCTCCTCATGGTTTGCTTCTCTTGTGTACTTCAAAGAAAGACCAGGGGATGTCATCAGATCCGTGGGAAAATAGGAAGAGTAAAAGTGAATTCTCCCTAAATGGGTAAATGTGCACCTGTGCACATATAGACATACTCACCCGTATATATACATCTATAGTGATAGATACGTACGACTATAGCTATTATAGTCAGGTTTTATGATGTTTAAGTGGCAAGCCCTCAGGTGCTAAATAACAATTTGACCATATCAGTCACGGTCCACCTCCCTGTAATGTATAGAAAGCCAAAACCATCCCACTGCCTGCGAGTCAATTCCAACTCATCGCAAATCGAGACAAGGGTTCTAGGAATACAAATCTTCGGGGGAGCACACAGCCTCATCTTTCTCCCACAGAGAGAGGCTGGTGGGTTTGACTCACTGGGCTTGCAGTTAGCAGCCCATTGCCTAAACCACAGTACCACCAACGACCCTTCATGTACATAGCGAGACCACAGATTAGTTTGGATCAACGTTTATGATTTTTTCAAACTATTTGACAGTTTGTAAATTATAGAACACAGAATATGGGAATTGCAACGATTGGAAGGAAAATGTATCAGTCTCAGTAGTTGTACATGGTATGGCAAATTAAAGTATCCTTTTAAATAGTTAATAAGTACATCTAAGCTCTCTTACCACCATTGTTTCATTTCCTAAATCAAGAGTGTACGCTCCTAAAACTCTATAATTTCCTAAGTATGGTGATATAAATGTATGTGTCTTTAAGTCAGAATTCTCTCAGACTGTCTAATTTAATTGAAATAGCTTTGCCTGTGTAAACTTGTCCTTTGTTTAAATAAGATTTCACTATTTAGTTTTGCCTTAAGCAAATGCAGCCTTTTGTTTGTCCACACAACATTTGATTAAATGTATAGGCTAATAGGAATCGCTTCTCCTCATTCCACACACATCACATCTTCCCCTTTCCCACTGTGTGGGGTATTCTTTTTATGGAAAGCTTTTGGGGAAAATAAATTTTGGCAAGAAAACTTTCTGTCTCCTTTCCATTATTGATTTTTTTAAGTTGGAAAAGAATTGGTAGGTGAGCCATACTCTCTAAATGCAGCTGCTAATGATCCTGATACAATGAATCCCTTAAGTATTTGCTCTCAGGGAGCACTGAAGTTTTCTCTTTATTTCTGGGTACTGATATTACTTGGCTATTTTTACTCCCCTCAAAAAACCAGACTTGCCCTCTGGCCCTTTCCTGGAAGTAATGTTCAGTGGATGCTGCGGGAGGCTCCGTTTGTGTAGTTTCTGGTTTCGAGTTTGGCGTTTATCAATTTACCAACAGAATGCATGGTTTGGGTTTTCACTGTTTGTTTAAGACTGTCACTAGATTCCTAATGGAGAAGGCACTAATGCCTATTTTCATGCCATAAGATCCTATACTACGTCTGTTTTTGCTGTTCAGGCAATGCTGGATGTGGCTGCAAATCAGGGCTGGCTGGTGGCTGTCCTGAACATTACCAATCTGGTGCAGATGGTCATCCAGGGTCGGTGGCTGAAGGACTCGTCTCTTCTCACCCTTCCAAACATAGAGCAGCAGCATCTTCACCTTTTTAGGTAAGTGTGTTCATTTTGAATGTAATTGGTTTGTAGGGGGCGGGGGCTTGGATGTCCTAGCATCACCACATGACCACAGTTTTGCTAATGTGAACCTTAGAAGACTGTGGGGGGGGTTCTTTTTTTTTTTTTCAGTGTGTTAAGTGACTTGAGTTTCATGTCATGCGCTAGAATGTTGATTCTGTCCAGTGAAAACACCTGTTTCCAGGAGAGCGTGTGGCCGGATGATGTGACAGTCTGGCTTGAAATTTAATCATCTGTTGCCAGCCGTCACACCTCACTTTGTTGCCCTCCCCTCTGATTTGTTTTCCATTGGTAACGCTGCTTCTGTTTTCCCTGTGCCGTTTGTTTTACAGTAGGAGCCGTCGTTTAAGGAGTGTTATCAAAGTGCTCTGTGGTCTAAAGCAAAATAAACAACTATTTCTGTTCTTGCCAAATAGATTGGTGGGGGGAGGGGGGAATCAGAAACCCATTGTCAGAAGTAAAGTATGCCTGTGCAGAATGTCCAAGCCTTGAGTAACGAAGTACCTGTCGGATCATGGGACCCCTGGGTCCCGTAGACATGGCTGCAAAGAATATGGCAAAGAAAACAAGGATACATGGTATAATCAAGGTTGGCAGTGTTTAAATGAAAACATTTCCTTCACACCAAGTGAGAGCAGCTTTGCAGCCAGAATGTTGGTTCACAGTTGTGTAGACAAGCACAACAGTCTGGCTGCAACTAGCCATCCCCTCCCTCCTGCCGCTGGACTAGGAGTGACAATCATGTCCAGTGTCTAGGTGCAGGCGCCAACCAGAACCTCGGGCACACACGCACTCTCCTCTCCTCAGGAAAGCCCCTGGGTCGGAGGTGGGACTGCAGTCCTGGGCAGCCCGGGTATCCCTGTGGGGCTCAGGTGCCCACCCCTGAGACGTGAAGGCGCATCCACCCCGGCGGCAGGTGACACAAGGGAAAGCAGATACCTCATGGATTTCTGCAACTCGGCTTCAAAAAAACATACTTTTCCAAGGCGAGTGTGTTAGTCTGGGTACTTTAGAAAAACAAATCCACAACAACTCATATGTATAAGAGAGAGTTTTATATAAGGGGAAATGCACATCAAAAAAACATTCCAACTCAGTGCTGCCCAAGCCCACAAGTCCAACATTAACCCATTTGTCCAATGCCAATCCACAAAGTTCTCCTCCATCTCACAAAACACACACAATGATGCCCACTGCAGGAGGAAAGCCAAATCGGTGAGCGTGTAAGCATCTTAGCGCTGGCAGGGGTCTCCATATGGCTGCTTCAGCACCCAGGGCTGCATTGAGGTAGGTCTATGCGGCTTCTCCTCAGGGATGTCTTGCAGGAAGTGAGCCTTGCCAGCTGAAGCAGGGAACTGGCTAAGGCAGCTGCACCCTGGTCCAACCGTCAGAAAGCATGAGATCCGAGAACTAGAAAGGCGAGGCTCACCGAGCCATTTATTTCTCTGTCTTTTAATTATTCCCACATGTGTTTACCGGCCAGCTTGGCACAATAAACTTTAACGATCTCAACGAGTATGAACTAAAAGCAACAGGAGTTGGGTTTCAGCTGTAAAGCCGGAGCATATGGGAACTGCCCACGAGGCACGCAGGTCTGTTAAGGAAGCTGCTTGGGGCCTGGGAGATTTATCCAGTTCTTTGCTGTCACCTTTCATAGCATCGGATTAGTGTAACTTCAGTGATAATTTTCTTCTTGCTATATAAAGAAGTAGTAGAGAGGAAGATTTATGGCCTACCTTCCTTGGATCTGATGGTGCTATTTGTGCTAGTAGAACTCCAAAAAGATTCCTAAAATGTCCTTTTCATTTGAGATCCTCAACAATTTATAAGTAAAATTTTATTCAAATAATCATAAGAGTTCACTTGCTTGTGTCCATTAAAACCGTGTCAGGGCTCCAAATAACTATTTTATCCACCTGCATACCACTAAGTATTTGCTGACCTCGCCTAAGAGTTACATATTTTGTGTAGTGATAACAATACTGCCTTGGTTGTTATCTTAGAAAATGCTGACTGATTTTTTAAATGTACACTAATAACCTTTAAAAAGTATCGTAGGAATTTTAGTTCTTTTACGAAAAGTCAGCAAGATTAGGGTAAGTCAGAAAGTATTGCTGCTAGAGTTTCCATTCACACATACACAGGTTTATTCTGAGCAAAACATGTTTGCACGTGTCTCTCCAATCAGTGGGTGACTGCAGACAAGTTTTCTCAGTTATATACTTGTCTTTGTCCCCATAGGGTGCCTTCAAAACAGAGGTCCAGTCAAATCAATGGCTTTCTAGGGGATCTGCTGGGCCAGTTAGAGTCGAGGCAGAGAGATTTGCTCAGAAGGTCATAGCAACTGTTCATTGGCATTCCCAAGGAGTCATCTTTAAAGTGTTGTAAAGCCAGGAAGTTACTTTGAGAACGTTGAAGGTGCACCGGACCCAACTCATGAGTCCAAGAAGTACTGTATTTGAATGACAGTGCTGTGATGAGTGTTAAAAATGCCATGCCCTGCCAAATAATAGATCTAGGGGGGCAAAGACATTATGCCACATACTTTGGACATGTTTTCAGCAGAGGCAGATCCCTGGAAAAGGACATCATGCTTCGCAAAGTAAAGGGGCCGTGAAAGAGAGAAAGACCCTTGACAAGATGGCTTGGCACAGCAGCTGCATCGATGGGCTCAAACATAAGAACAATTGTGCGGATGGGTCAGGACCGGGCAGTTTTGTTCTGTTGCACAAAGGGTCACCGCTCAACTCTACAGCACCTAACAGCAACCACCTCGGTGGATGTTCTTGAAGTGCACAGGGCAATCGCAGGTGCTCATTAGGAAGAAGTTTCAAGAAAATAGAAAACTGCACTGATGAGCAGAAGCCCAGGGAGAGTTGTACCCTGGAATTTATCCCATCCTACCAGTGTACTTGCTCAGTCTTCAAAGGTAGCAGTAGCTATCTGTCTTATGAGGATTTTATTTGAAAACCTTACTCCAGTCACCCTACAACACTATCCTTTCCCCCTTTAGGCTTGTTTTTGTTCCCAGAAACAAAAGAACATTTTTAAAGGACATGATTTGAATCCTTGGAGATTGAAAAGTGCCGAAGGCTCCATCAGGGCGGAGTTAAAGTGATAGCCCACCACCTTCAGAAGCGTGTGGACCTAAATGTTGGAAATCAATAGCTTCACATCTTCATATTTTTATTTAATTAAGGGTTCTATGATTTTGTAGTGGTCTTTTTATACTTACCCTCAGAAGTAGTTCTAATTATACGAATCATCATTGTCCGAAAATCTCACCTGTAGTATGAAGGAAGTATTTAGCTTGATGTTGATGTTATTTCATAGGAAATGGAAGCCAGTTGTGAAGGGCCCACGTGGTGGTTACCAGGGCAGTATTGAGTGCCTCCCGGAGCTGATCCATGCCTGTGAAGGGAAAGAACGTGTATTTGACTCCATTGTTCAGTCAGAGCTACAGCCGGCAAAGATAAAGCAGGTAGGACTATTTCTTCCATGTTTTCAGGAATCCCTTACTGTCTAAAGTGGACCGAGAGAGTTGTCTAATGTAGACCATGCGTGCCGGAGCCAGACTCGCCTGTGTTTGAATTCCATCCACTGTTGACTAACCATGATTATAAACATGAAAACAGTACCTGCCTCAGGGAGATCTTATGAAAATTAAAGCAAGATATTATGTAAACTACTTTATATAGTTCATAACATAGAAGGAGCGCTCAGTAAATTATACTCAAAATAAATCATAATAATTAGTAACATTATTAACATCAGAAGTTGTTTAGGTGTATGATATTAAACTGAATGCAAAGGTCCTTCTGGAGTTCATTAAGCACAAGGCCGTATTGCCCAGAGTCCTTTTAATCACTTTCTCAGTAGTTTTCTCTGTTTTAATGGTAAAGTTTATCTCCTTACAATTCCCTCAGTTACTTCTTTAGCCTCCCTTTTATTTTAAACATCTCCTTGTTCATACATTCTTTTCCTTTGAATGAAGTCCTTATTATGGGTACAGACTACACAGGTCCTTTCTCCAAAGCATCTTTGGGAAGGGCAAAACATGAATGAACTGTGCCAGACATATTTGGCATATTTGGACTTTTTAAGTGTTAAGTAATTTTACCCTAAGCATGTCAGAGCCAATGCTCAGAATTTATAATGAACATTGACTTGCGGGTGCAAGTCTTAAAGGAAACTTCCAAATCATGTCTTACTTTCCAGTACAACTGATTCTCAAGCGAGACATGAAAAAAATGTAACAGGCTTTAAAGTGCTTGTTCAGTCTCTGTTGAACCCCAAATTGGCCCCCCCAAAAATCTATTTAAATATTCATAATAAATGCCTACCTTTCTAACTAAATTACCATCAAGATTATCAATAGAAACAACATATGTAAATCAAATCTAGGTTTCCATTAGTAACAACAGATTTCTAACATACATTGATTTCAAGCCAAATTTTAGATACGATGAAAATTTAGAACATTGTTATAACTAGTTCAGAGAGAACTCAGAAGTAAACTTACTTAATTTATTTGCATAAATTGCCATTCTGTTACCTTTAAAACCAAATGCAAATTGGCTCTGTCTGATATGATGATGGTTATTTGGCTCAAAAGTGCTTCAATTTGCAGAGCAATCTGGTGTCGGCTCTGCTGTGAGGCGATCCCAGGTAACATACAAATCCTGAATTATTCCAGAAATTAGTATGTTTAAAGCATCAATTTAAGTGCTAATTGCAGTAGTAATGAGAAAAAGCAGTACGACTGTGAGATTTGCATCTTCTACCCCATCAGTATGCCTGGAACGGCTGCTGACTGGCAGAGGATTTGGCTGCTAATTAAATAATTGTATGCATGGCAGTGCTCTCGCCTGATTCAATAGATGAAGATTAATCCTCAGATAAATATGTTTGGCTGGTAGTGAAATGTCTTAGCAGTTTCTTTAAAAATAGCTCATGTTTTATATACATAAATTTATGTATACCTAACAAATATATGTGTACATATTGTGGGTTGAGAAATAATAGTATTAAGTGCTACAGAAAGGTTACATGTATATAAAAGCCAGATCTGACTTTTGGGAGCTTTGCAGAGTAAAATCCCAAAGAGATGCTAAGAACAGAAAACATCCTATTGGACACTAATTTAGTGGCACAGGTAAAGAAATGTGAGCTCTTACATCATGCAGGAAAATGTTGCTGTTTTACCTCACTAGATTAAGTACTATCCAGAAGTGTATGTTTCCGTTTTCTTGACCACCTTTACACTGTACAGTTTAGAAGAGCATCTAGTGGTTTGACTTCTGCACTGGTGACTGTTGGTTCTCCACAGTCTCTCAGTTTCCTTAAAGCACAGAATGGACCGCTCTGTGGCTTGAGCAGTTCAGGACGTAATTGGAGACGTAATTTCACATTCTCAAAAAAATCTATAGGATTAGAGTTGGATTAGAAACTGCATAGTCAGTTCACCTTTTTCATTCTTTTTATTATTATTAGATACTTTTATTGGGGCTATTACAGTTCTTATCACAATCTATACATACATTCATTGTGTCAAGCACATTTGTACATCTGTTGCCATCATCATTTTTAAAGCATTTTCTTTCTACTTGAGCCCTTAATATCAGCTCCTCGTTTTTTTCCCTTACTCCCCCACCCTCCCTCCCTCATGAACCATTGATAATTTATCAATTATTACTTTCATACCTTACATCGTCTGCTGTCTCCCTTCACCTACGTTTCTATTGGTCGTCCCCCTGGGAGGGGGTTATAGGCTGATCCTTGTGATCAATTCCCCTTTTCTCCCCCCACCTCCCCCTTACCCTCCTGGTATCTCTGTTCTCATTATTGATCCAGAGGGATTTATCTGTCCTGGATTCCCTGTGTTGCAGGCTCTTATCTGTAACTGTGTACATGTTCTGGGCTAGTCAGATTTGTAAGGTAGAATTGAGGTCATGATAGTGTGGGGTGGGGAGGTGGAATCATTAAAGAACTAGAGGAAAGTTGTGTGTTTCATCAGTGCTGTACTGTGCCCTGAATGTCTTATCTCTTCCTTGTAACCCTTCTGTAAGGAGATGTGTAATTGTCTACAGATGAGCTTTGGGTCTCCACTCCACATGCTCCCCCTCCCCCCATTCACATTGGTTGGATTTTTGTTCTGGATCTTTGATGCCTGGTACCTGATCCCATTGACACCTTGTGATCACATAGGCTGGTGTGCTTTTTCCATGTGGGCTTTGTTGCTTCTCAGCTAGATGGCCGCCACTTCTCTATCTTCAAGACTTTAAGACCTCAGACGCTATATCTTTTGATAGCCGGGCACCATCAGCTTTGCTCACTACAAAGTGTTCTTGTGTTGAGGGAGTACTGGAGTGGAAGCCCAATGTCCATCTGCTTCCTTAATACTTAACATATAATTATAAGTTCATAGATCTATTTCTCTATCATTATATATAAATATATTTACCTATGTACATGCCTGTATTTAAACCTCTATAAATGTCCTTTGCCTCCTAGTTCTTTCTTCTATTTCTTTTTACTTTCCTCTTGTCCCACTATCACGTTCAGCCTTCATTTCAGTAAACCCTCGCTGTTACATTGCTCTTGATTAAGCCCCACTACGCATCCTCTGCCCTTCTCTCCATCAGTTTTAGTTCACTTGTTGTTCCCTTGTCCCTAGGTTGGTTGACCACCACCCCACCCAACCCCCATTCCACCTTCCTTTCTCCCATCTTCCCTTCTCCTGTTTCCCCCTGGAACTGTCAGTCCCATTGTTTTCTTCTCTGAATTGTTGATCCCGCCTATCATATCTAGATAGACAATCAGCAGTTTCGCCCATCAGTGCTAGTCCACTTCAATGAGGCATACACAGTAGCACTAAAGTCTTTGCAAACAGCACATCAAAGCCTATAAGGAAACCTGTGCTATGCTTTTGTGACATGGGAAAGAAAAACCAAAAATAAAGAAAAGTACTATTATACTTTTAAAAACTAACTTGGAAAGTAATAACTGATGAAACAGTTTCCTGAGTTCTTTTGACTAATAGTGACGCTGCCATATCATTCTAAGTTGTAGAAAATCATGATAATTATTTACTGTAGGACCTTTAATTTGCTTTGTTAACTGAGATTACTTTTCATGGACTTATGAATGAGTTTATTCAGTCATGTGGTAATGGTGAGCTCTTAGAGTTTGTGTACTGATTTTTCGAGAATAACTTTCAGTAGAGTTGGTAAAATGTGTTTTGCTCCTTTAACGTAGGTCATTTTAATTGTTATTCTCAGCATGATAATGATTAAAAAAATTTTTCTAGAAAGAAACTTCAGAAGTAAACTAACATATTTATTTGAGCTTACAAGGTTCCTTTGTCAACATATAGAAATGTGTTTTCTATTGGATTTGAAGTATGGGCTTTTAAAAGGGGGATTTTGTTTAGACAATAAGTATGGATGGTACTGCTTTACATCACAGTTTTTTCTCCTTTTGCTTTTATATACTCAAATATGCTCTCCTGCTTAGAATCTACATAAGTAGTAAAATAAAGGCTGCTTGCAACCAACCAGCTCAACAACGGATGTTCTTGCACTTGATATTAAGTTCAGTCTAGCATGGTATGTCATTGTTGTTAGTTGTTAGTTGTTACCAGGTGTGCAGAGGAGAATTGCTTCATAGAATTTTGGCACTGTGACCTTTCACGAGCAGTTTGTGGCCTGTATTCCCGAGTTGGGTCCAAACAGCCAACCCTTCAGCTAGTATCCTAGTTCTTGACCATTCACACCACCCAAGGACACATAGTCAATAGAAAAAATAATAATAATCTCATTGCTACCGAGACAATGATGAGTGGCAATGGCTTATGGTACAGAATAGAACTGCTCGGTGCTCCTTGGCTTTAATCTTTATAGAAGCCAAATGCTAGGCCTTACTCCCATAGTGCCACTGGTTGGATTAGAACCACCAACTTTTTTATATTAGTAGTTGACTATCAACTGCTTGTGCCACTCAGAGACATATAGTCAAAAGCCACTGCATGCCTAGAAGGGACTTATAATGAAGGGACCACACATTTAGATGGAATCAGTCTTTTAAAGTTACTTTTCAAAGGGCTTTAAAGAATCAAAAGTACAGTGTTTCAAAGTACACAAACACATATGCATGAGAGCAAGTACAACTGAGGAAATTGGAACAAGATCAACGAACTATATCAATGTCAATGCATACTGGTTATGATACTGGCAGTATGGTTTTACAAATGCTACCATTAGAAGAAACTGGAAAAATGCTACACAAGATCTTTTCTCTGTATTACTTCTTACAACTTCATGTGAATCTAAAATTACCTGAAAAATTAAAAGCTCATTTCTGAAAAAAGGACACGTTCTTAATTGGTCACTGTATTTCATCTTAAACATTCCTCTATTGTTTTTCCTTTTTTTTTTTTTTTTAATGCAGGCCTGGAATTTCGTATCTCGCTTGCCAGTGATAGATGTCAGCTTGAGTGTTAAAGGTTGGTGGGATGACTCAGTTGAAGGACAGAATGAGCTGTCTATCCCGACTCTGGTTTCAGACAAGCGAGATGACAACAAATGGATCAAATTGCATGCTGACCACGAGTATGTGCTTCAGGTCAACTTGCAGAAAATCCACACTGGGTCCCACAAGGTATCGTGTTTGGTTTCCATGCTCACAGACTTCACACCAGCCACAGCATGTGCCACCACACATAGCTTCTTGATTACTCATGTGTCCGTGTCATTCATGAGTCCTGCTTTCTCAGCTGGCCTTAGGCAGGGGGAGTCAGTCTTTTGACATTAGTCTTTCTCCTCCTGTGCCATTTTTCCACTCCAGAACCTCCCAACTTATGTAATAAAATACTGCCCCAAGTTACACTGTCCGCAGAGTGTGGTCTGTAGGCTCCGGGCAGCAGAATTTCCTGCAGTGTCTTTCAAAGTACAGATCCCGTGACCCCACTCCGGACTGCCTGATCAGAATCTCAGGAAGAGCGATCTCGAAAGCTGTACTTTTATCCATCACCCAACGGATTTTTAAGGACATTTAATTTTGAGACGCACTGCCCCAGAAGCCACACTGGGCTAGATTTTGATGAGGTCAAAGCTTTACCACTTAGTCATTTTTTATGAACTTGAATGCGTCGTTAAGCTTGTCTGAGCCTTGGTTGCCACGTCTGCCTGCTTCTGTCATCAAAATGCACCTGAAAGAGCTTTTTCAATGTTCATTCAGGTAAAAAAAAATGTACACAACTTACATGTTTAAATGACTAGGGTCTCTTCTGTTGCCTCTGATACTAAAATTAATTATTTGATCCTCTAAGAACATGAGTAGACAGCATGTGGGCAGAGTCATATTTTAGTACCATGACAATTGAAATAAGAAAGTCTCTCTTTTTTTTTTGTTTTGCCTGGTAGATTCAAGGGCTTTCCTATATCTAGAATAAGCCCTTACTAGTGAGAGTGAGAGGAGCCCTGGCACAGTGGTTAAAGCACTCTATTGCTAACCAAAAGGTCAGCAGTTTGAACCCATCAACAGGTCCAAACCCATAGCCACACTACAGGAGAAAGAGGTGGCAGTTGGCTTCTATAAGATTTGCAGACTTGGAAACCTTGCGAGGCAGTTCTAGTCCACCCCCCAGGGTTGCTGTACGTCAAAATCGACCCCTCTGCTGTGGGGTTGGCAAGGTTGTAGTGCATTTATAGTGCTGCTTCTGTGTTCACAGCCAGATGATTAGCAGCTGTCTTTACCTTCCAGTACTGTTTCTCCAAGCCCCAATCCATTTGAGTTCCACTTCTAAAGAGCAGTCAGATTTAGCATGAACTGATTGGCTGTGACCTTTCAGAACCTTTAATATGAGCATTTTTACATCACTGAAGTATTATCATCGGGGGAAAACAGTGATTATAATAAAAATAAAGGCATGGGCTAAAACTAAGATAATTCTTTACCTTAATATTGCTTCGTAAAAATTAAACTGAGTTTTGCTGGAAAATCAAATACATCTTCTTTCTGAATGCTATAAAAAGACATTGCTCTTTGACCTCTCTTAAATAAAATGCCTTATGTGAAAAGTGAATGTTGAATTGAAGCTGATAAGGTATTTCATAATTAGTGAATTTTAACAACCAAGTTTTGTCTTAACGAGTCCTGGAATAATCCTGGATTGTGGTAGTTAATATATTTTACACTTGCTTGGCTTACAAGTTCCTATTTCTTAGAGAAAGGACGTTTGCCCTATCAGCATTTATTCCTTAGAGAAAGGACTTGTACCCTATCAGCATTTATTCATTTACAAATGGAATATCATTTACAACATTGGCATAAAATTCTACTAATTTGTCAAGATTTGGGACTCTTTGCTAGCTTCTCCAAATCTTCTGGTTGTTTATACTACAAAAAATATTATCTACGTGTGACTTGTGGAATCTTGAAGAAAGGCAGATAATGCCATGTCAATCAAAGACATCAATCCAGAAAACAAGAAAATTAAAAACTTTGCTGAGAGAGATGCTGAGCCATGCAGCTCTGCGGCCTTTAAGTCAGACAGGGTGTACAGCCCGGTGGTGTGACACACTATCAATGCTTTCTCTTTCCTCTTCTTTTTTCTGCGTTACAGGGAAAGCAAGAGAGCACTGCCATCACCCCTCGATTTCCCAAATCAAAAGATGAAGGATGGTTTCTGGTATTAGGAGAAGTGGATAAGAGAGAGCTTATTGCTTTAAAAAGAGTGGGCTTTGTTCGAAATCATCAAGTAGCTTCCATTTCTTTCTATACCCCTGAATTACCTGGAAGGTAAGCAGAATCTCACACAAATGTTTAGAAGAAATTAAACAACACTGTAATTAGAAAGTTGAGTTTCATTTTTGTTTTTATCTTTTTACATTTTAGGTATATTTATACACTGTATCTCATGAGTGACTGCTACCTTGGCCTGGACCAGCAGTATGACCTTTATCTCAATATCACACCAGCAAGCATGTCCACACAAGTCAACATGGAGGTCTCCGATGCCTTGACGGGCCTGGCAGTGAAGTAACCTGCCTGAACAGTCTGTTATGAAGTCAGACTCTTCAGTCACCTAGACGAAGTCAAATCACCTGATGATTGCCGTCGTGCTGCCAACTTCTGACCCCAAGACACCAGGAAACCGATAGTGGTTATGGCAGTATTGACCCAAATGACACAGAGTTAGCTGTTGTGGCCGTGTAAATCATGTGGCCTCTTAAAATGTCATTTGCTTGGGTTTCTTGCTATGTAAAATGAAAAAGCATGCAGAGGATTCTTTCAATTGGCTCACACCTGAGACTGTGTTTAAGAATCACCAATGAATATTTGACACCTCACAAGATACTGTTTACATGAATATTGGCTTCTTTAATTCTAAAGAAACTGCATTGAATCTTGACAGCTTTAGGATTTGTTGTAACCGATTTCTAACTCTGGAGGGGAAAAAATATATATATATTCCATATGGTGACATGTAATGTGTCTTTTTAGGAAAATGTTTACTCTGATCTGATTGCACATTGAAGCAGTTTTAATAGCTCTTATATTCTTAAATGTTAATAAAATATGATGTGATATTGTATTACAGAGCCCAATAATGATAAAAAGAAAACAATATACTGATCTTCAAAAATGTAAATATTATAACGGGTGGAAATAAAATATTTAGAGTGCCATTGTGACATGAGTAGACCCTATTATGTGTTCTGCTTCTTCCCATGCTACCCCCACCCCCTTACTCTTCTAGTCCTCTTTTCTTGCCCTTAGCCTTCAAGACTCTCTTTTTCTGGGATTCTTACACAAGGAGGGATGTGCATCCTTATTCATGTCGTTTCAGGTTCACACTGCACGGAGGCCTTCTTGTCTGTATGCTGCCCTGGATGCATCCGAGACAAACAGGAATGTTTATACACCGGCAGTAGGTTTTCCCCTCTGATGGAGTAAATATTTCTCTTTCAAAGAAACAAAAAAACTGTTAGAATTTATTGCCCACGTAATGTATGTACTTTTGGAATGACATTCTGTCTCTGTAAAGTAATTTGAGGTATTCTGGGCCCCTGTGGTCGATTGTTTCAAGATATTTCCAGCATAATCTTCACTAGAATTTAAAAGTTTTTTCAGAAATTAGAACATCTTGCTTGTGTATACCTCCTCCGGGCAAAAATAAAATACAGTAATGTGCAGTGAGGGAACCCAGGGCATTTCACTTGTGAAAACGAAGTCTAAATAGCTAATATGAACACACAGTGCATTGAGGACCAGCTCTTGGCAGGGAGGGCGCTAATCTTGGGCGTTCCATTCACAGCAAGAGTTCTCTGTGCTTTTCCTTTAGCAGAGCTCCTTCCCTACCTTACCCATCGGAATGAAAGAAGGCCAACAGTGTATAGATAAGCTGTCGTCAGTACTAGGGTCTGCGGAGGACAATCATATCATCTCTAGGACTATCACCGTTGGGATGGAGAGGTAGGAATCTACTTAACTGGACATACAGCACAGGCCGTTTGGTGGTGGGGGATTGTGTAGCATCAACTTGCTTCTGACTCATGATGTCCTTCCATGGCAGAAAAGAACTTCCCCCATAGGGTTTCTTAGACCCTAATCTTTATAAAACTAGATTTCCTGCACTTTTCTCCCTCAGAGACACTAGGGAGTTAACGCTTTCACAGCAGAGCCCTTTAGCCATCCACCTCCAGGGCTCCATAACTGGATATACGACACAAGACATCGGGATGAGTAAGTAGAATTTCTATCACAGAAAGAAAATATTATGTAAGACTTCATTACTTAGAAGTCAACACAGTTCCACTCAGGAGCAAGATTAAAACCACTTTGTTCAGGATAAGCCACAGAGAGGACACTGGCAGAACAAGCTGCATGTGGATAGAAAAGTCCATCTTATTCCAGTGAGTAACCGACACTTTGTCTCCAGCTTCATCCTCTGTTACTCAACTGAAATGTTAGTGTCAGGCGCGCACTGTAAGAGGACGTGTACCAACATAGCTCAGTACTACTATTTCCAAAGCTATAAGTTGACAACTTTTAGTGGCCCGTGGATTTCACCAGTATTTTAAATGCTTCCAAGCCAAACTCACTGTCACCGCGTGCACTCTGACACATAGTGACTTTATAGGACAGGTAGAACTGCCCCTGTGGGTTTCCAAGACTGTAACGCAATGGGAGCAGAAAGCCTTGTCTTCTCCAGGAGAGCAGTTGATTGTTTCGGACTGTCAACCTTGTGCTTCTAAGCCCAATGCATCACCACCACACCAACAGGGCTCCCCCTAATCCTGGTCATTGAGACAATCCCTTTCACTCCCTAAAATTTCTAAGGGTGATTTTGTATTCTTAGGAGTGTATGTGTAATTATGACGGTGACGACCAAGATGTCTAAAGGTCTCAGTGGTCTGCATTACAGAGTTCTGCTTGGAGAGCCACAGCCCCCTGATCTCTGAGACGTGCAGCACTGAGCTGGCTCCTTCATTGTGCAGCTCTCATTTCACGACACATTCCTAGGGATCCTATCAATTCAAACTGATCACATGCTTACTCTAGGCACTGTGTTGAATATCCTCATGCCCACATGACTCAGAGACAGACCTTGCCCCCCAAACAAAGGCTGGTAGTAAAGATGTACAGTATATATTCGAGTATAAGCCGGCCCGAATATCAACTGAGGCACCTAATTTTACCACAAGAACTGCATTAAAAAGGTGCTAGGAAATTCAGCTTATACACGACACGTAATTAAAAGAGAGACCTTTCAGGGAGCCCTGATGGCATAGTGATTGCACATTGGACTGCTAGCTGTAAGGTCAGCAGTTTGAAACCACCAGTCACTCTGAGACAAAGATGCTGCTTTCTACTCCCATAAAGAGCTGTAGTCTTGGAAACCCATGGAGACCTGACCTATAGGGTCTCTGAGTGAGCATCGCCTCGATGGCAGTGCGTTTTGAGATTTGAAGGATATATAGGGTTCAGGGGTAAAGGGTTACTTAGAAAACGGAGGGGACATTTAAACTGAACTTTAGCGATGGGTAGAACTGGAAAGAAGAAAGAGCATTCCAGGTAGAATAGCATTAACAGCATTAACGTAGTCTGGCCAAGAGTACCTAGTTGGTCTGATTTCAAAATCTTCAAAGGAACTACCAGGAGAGCATGGGAAAATCTGATTTGACCTTTTATTAGAGGTTATTGGACTATAAGCTATAAACGTATGTGTGTGCAGTAGAATTCCTTGACAGATCATTAGAGATCAGGGTTAGCTTTGTGTTACCTTTCATTAGGATAATTATTCAGGCATCCACATCTAGATAGGACCTAGCAAGAAATACCGCAGGAATACCAAAGAAACGTAAGTGCAGTAAGGAGGCAGGAGGAGCCAGAGAAGGATATGGGGAGAAAACCAGTGGAAAGGAGACAGCTGGGAGATTGGGGGGGTGATGGATTTGAATCCATGCCTGATGGTAACCAGAGTTTTCAGTGGGTGATATTTCTGAAGCAACTCTGGTGGACTCAAACCCCCGATCTTTTGGTTTGCAACAAAGCGTGTTTATTTGTACCCCCCAGGGACCACCATGTAAAACTGAACTAGCATCAAGTCGATCCTAACAACAGCCCTGTAGGACAGCATAGAACTGCTTCATAGGCTCTCAGGGCACAGAGCCTCATCTTTCTCCCATGAAGTAACTGGGAGGTTTGAACTGCTACTTAATCAGCAGCCCAGTGCTTAACTCAATGCACCATCAGGCTGTTTTAAGGGGTGCTTGTGGGTGCTGAATACAGATAAGTCAAAGCAGTGAGAACCAAGTTAGGGAACCTGACTTGGTGGGGGGGCGGTGGTAGTTGCTAGAGGTTATCAAGTCTGTTCCGACTCATAGCGACCGTGCTACAGAAAAACCACGTCATATGTCATCCACAGAACCTTCGCTAGGTTTGAGCCCACTGGTGCAGCTGCAGTGCCGTAACACCTCATTGAGGATCTTTTTTGTAAGCCTCTACTGAACAAGTCTGATGCCCTTCTCCAGGAGCTGAGCCCTCTTGATAGCACGTGCAAGTACAGGAGTCAAAAATCTCACCATCCTTGCGTCTAAGGAGCATTCTGGCTGTACTTACAAGACAAATGCGTCCGTTCTTCTGGTAGCCCATATAGATTCAATATTCCTCACCAACAGAGGCACCGAATCGTCAGTCTTCATTAGTCACTGGCTAGCTTTCCTATCTGTAGCCACATGAGGTGATTGAAAATACCATGGCTGCAGTCAGGCACACCTCAGTCCTCAGTGACATCTCTGCTCTTTAACCTTTCAAAGAGACCTTGTGCAGCAGATTTGCCCAATGCGATGTGCTGTTTGGTTTCTTTACTGCTACTTCTGTGGACGTTGGTTGTAGATCAAATAAAATGAAATCATTGGCTACTTCAATACTTTCTCCATTTATCAGGATGCTCGTTGGCCTGCTTGTGAGGATTTGGGTTTTCTTTACACTGGTGTAATTCACGCTGCAGGCTACAATCTTGATCTGCGTCAGTAAGTGCTTCAAAATCTTTCAACAAGGAAGTTTGTCTCATCTGCATATTGAAAGTTGGCTTCCTCCAATGCTGATGCCCAATTCCTTATGCATGTCCGTTTCTCGGCATACAGATTAAATATGATGAAAATACATAATAACCCTGGTTTACACATTCCTGATTTTAAACCAGGCAGTGGCCCCTTGTTCTGTTGGGATCTCTGCCTGTTGGTCTATATGTATAGTTTCACCATGACTATATATATGTGCCTGGAACTTCCATTTTTCCCAAAATGTGTTATCTTCACAGTTAAACGCCTTGGCATGGTCAGTAGACCATAGGTAAAGCATTTGTCTGCTAGTCTCTGCTTTCGAGCAAGAGCTATCTGACATCAGCAGTGACTTCTCTCACTCCACAGCCTCTGCTGAGAACAGCTTGAATTCCTGGCCGTTCCTATTTATGTATTACTGCAACTTTTTATTACTCATCAATAATTTCTATATGCCATTGAAATACCTTTCTTAGTAATGGGGACAAATATGGATCTTTCCCAGTTGCTTGGCTATGTAGCTAGCTTCTAAAAGTGTAAGCCCCTCCAGTGCCAGTTTTGTGGAAGCATTTCATCTGATATCCCCTCAGTTCCTGGCGCCTTATTTCCCAGTGTCTTCAGTACAGGTTGGCTTTCTGCCTTCAGCACCAAATGACTAGAAAGCGGTTTGGCAAAATTAGCAGGAAGGAAGCTTAGATTTTCAGGAAATAAGGACCTGAGAGAATAACGAGAAAGAACGGGGAATGAATGAATGAAAGTAATTATATAGGCTTCACTCAGCAAAAATCAGAAAACTGTTGTCCCCTTCCAATATTGTCCCCTGCTACTCCCATCCCACTACACTCACAAATTTATATGGGAGAGGGGAGGGCTTCAAAAAATGTATTGAAAAATTGAATTAAAAGATAATGGAATTTTTCCATGAACTTTCGAAACTCATTTATCTTTGTGTCTGTGTATGTGTTTGCCCCCTACCATTACCTAAGGAAAGGAGCCGTGGTGGGTTGCACATTGGTCAGGAGCTGAAGACCACCAGCTGCTGCATGGGAGAGAGATGAGACTTTCTCCTCCTGTCAAGAGTTACGGTCTTGGAAACCTACAGGGTAGTTCCACCCTGTCCTCGAGGGTCCCTATGAGTTGGCAGTGAGTTTTTTGGGGTTATTACTAAAAGA